ATCTCTGCACCCACAATCAGCGTGTACGGCTCATTGATACATTCTCTATTTACCTAAAATGAACTGGTATTAACGATTCAACCACTTCAACTAGGATATTTGCTCAGTAATAAGTCAATTGCTTATAGGTAAAGCTGTCATTTATTTCCTGTCAATTTGCTCTTTGCGCGTAAAATAACAAGAGGAAACCCTCCTTCCTCCCCTCGAATGCTTACCGTGCAACAATGATGGATCCCAAGCATGTTGACCACAAATGTCTCCCCGCCCCAACAAAGTTTTCAATCTTCCAAAGACCGAAAAGGCTGGCTACCCAAAGTTGCTTTTCTCCGTTCATAGCTTCAGACCAATGTATTTCTTCTCCCGCTGACACCTATTTTCTTGGGACTACCACACCAAAGTACACAGTTACAAATACGCACTAACGCACCAAATTAACACACACTTTCCAACACCGCAACTCGGACAGGATCACCACAACAACCTTTGGAATGCATTATCGCACTTTTTAGAGATACATGAGAGTTCAATATTGGCTACAACTGTAAATGGCTTTGTTTTAAGAAGGCCCTCATTCTAACAATTTTGCTTCACTTTTTCCAGTGAAGTAATCGTTGCTAGAAAAAACGAATAGATTTACGAGTTGACTATCCATCTGTACAGAAGAACTATTTATTGCCTGTAAAGACGCCAAGAAAATAGTAGTAGTAGTCGGAAATATCACTGTAGCGGGCTATAAAGCCCGCTTGCTGTGATTTACTCACACTTTTTAAATGTTGAGGCCTTCGGTTGAAGGCACTGACAAATGTAATGCAGGTGCCTGGTGGAGAGAGAGCCCTTCGATTGACATACACACGCCAGCGCTTGGGTTGGGATGTGAACTTTTCGCCAGGCCTTCCTTTCATGCTTTGTCTTTGTGAGCGACTATTTTTCATTGGTTAGCTCTTCTTCAGTGTCGGAGTTGCCTCTGCTCTCGGGCGGGGCAGGACATGCTGGGTGGGATACTTCTGGCGTGACTCATTGAGCTTGGGTACGACCAGACACCATCATAAGTTGTAAAATTTGACTTGAATGCAAGAGCTTAAAGTTCTCCTGGCTATCTGCTTTGCGGCTTACTTTGCATCCCTTTCCCTGGTCGCCATCTTCAGGTCACATTTATCACGGTATCGCGAGGCGTTAATGGCGTCCGTAATTTTAGGGAGCACAAAAAATATGGGTTTGACGCAATCAAACAAAAAGAACCTACCACTGTTAGTAGTTGCACCAATTTTGAAGTGCGCCAAATGGATGATTGTCTCCCAATGTCAATAAACCGAGAGCAACTTGACATCACAACGCATAACAACACTTAGCTTGCGTATAAGAGTTTTTAGTGTTCTTCACTATGGACACCGCTGAATAGACATTTTAAAAAAGCCTTTCCTTCAAACTTTAACAGAGACTGTTTAGGATAAGGCCGTAGAACTAAACCTTATTGCATTATCACGATAAGGACAGCTATCCCACTCTTTGAACCACATCCATACCGATGTCCTGATTTAAAAATATTTATCTCGTCCTCTTGTAGCACCTACGGAGTTCGCGAACTCCAAGTTGGTAAAATATCCCACACCATTCCTTACACTCAGTGACAAAACTCACGTGTATTGAAGTTCACCTCCACTTTCTAATTTCTTATCCGTAGCTTAAGGCGAATTAAATGCTTTTAGATCGTGCTCGATTGAACTATGTTTGTCCGTGCGTACAAAATGGAAACGATGAAAATGAATAGCTAAACTGCATTAAGCAGAGAAGCCATAAATGAAGATGCATTGGCTACATTCACGCAGACGCCTTGCAAGGCATATGTTGAGCCTTCGATGTGGAGTTGAGAGAGCATGCCAAGCAGAGTACTCCTAAAAGGCGCAACAAAGCATGCGCAAACCACAAGCTACCGTAGCTCAGCTTGACTTGGATCGCATCCAATTGCAGCATCGGCCTTATGAATAAAGTAGAGATATTTTGGAACGTAATCACTCCTCAAATTGATGATCTTATGCGAAAACTCGAAAAACAGACAAAGTTAGGAAGCAATGACTTTACCACACCCTCATTATGCTCGTACTTTCACATTTTATTCACCCAAATCCTTTCTGTCATTCATGTGTGTAAACATGCCAGTAAGTGGGCGGAAGACATCATACTCATACTGTCAACAACAATAACCAAATCTGCAGGCTTTAGCAATGCAGTGAACTTGAAGCTTGACACTGCTTGTGATAAGAAGATGTGAAATGAGAGATAAAATCCCGAGTTCCGGCAGCCTCTTTTCTAGCGCACAGCAGCCATTTAATATGTGCCTCATTCGTCTTCCATGACTACACGAACAGCATCTATTTACATAAAATCGCTCCATTGTCATAACCTTTTGAAGCATACAATTTCACTCAAAGTAGTAAATTTGGGATTAGCTCGCAGTAACTTGAGTAATCTTATCAGCTTCATAGTGATCTGCATTGTTAGCTCAATTGCGTGGAATAGAAACAGGACTTGTCAAGCTTCTCGCCCCAACTGAAGGATTCGTTTTGATCCACTCCCTTAGTGATAAAATGTCTTAAGGAGGGATGTCCACTGATCAGAAAACTTTGTGAAGATTTAAAATCTGAATGTAACGGAGGATGCAAAGAAAAGTGTAACAAATCGCTAGGTGCCACAAAAATACGCAGTTGTGTGCATCTTGTTCATTTTAAGGTGAGTTAGAAGAAGCAGGTAAAGTTGACTCTTGTCCGCCAAAGTGAGGAAATCGGGAACTTATAGTTAACTGATTTATTTAAAACTCCCTTATACGTCATTGAGACACAATCATCGATGATTCCGAACACATAGCTTTCGTGGGGTTCAGGACCACCTTGGATAAAATCGGCTTGCAAACATGAAGCGAAGTTGATTACGCTTGTAAGAGTGTGCTTCATATTTCATATTTCTTCATAACAGTGCTAGCCTTTTCAAGGAATGTGGAAGAGATGTCGATTTTCGTTACCACTTTTATGAGGACCACTTGCTTTTCTCACAATGGGACCATTTAAAGTGAGCACAAAATGATTGCCGGTAAGGAGGTCTTTTCAACACCAGTGAGTGCATGCATTTTAGTCTACTTCCTGGCTGTCAAAACACGGTTCTTTTTTATTAACACCAACAAGGCATTTTTTTTCGAATGAGTGTGTTCTTAGCTCTTAAGCTGACACAGACGCTGAGCATTGCAGACTGCTACCTTTGGAATGGAGTCCAATAGAGTGCTAAAGAAACGCCTTAATGTTGTGCAAACTTCGGCGAACACACCTTTTCTCGTGTTGAAAAAATGTCTAAAACGCAGACCATCTTGCTGATAATCTCCACTGACTCAGAATTGAGTCGGTTTTCTGATACACCCGAAGTGCTTCATTAGATTGGGTGCCTAAAGGGTAATTTGATGGAAGAAGCGAATATAACGCCTCCAAAAGAGGGTTTCCTGGGTGTAATCTTCTAAACTTAGGTTTTATGAAGTAAGCGCAATAAGGACTACGATCGCAGCTAATAATGCCCTGTATTGAATTGAGCAAGGGTGATGCGAAAAACAGGAGTCAACATTCAAATTTTACTTGCTGACCCACACAACACCCAAAAATCACAGCTACTGAAAAACCATATCGCTTTGGGACTCATAGTTTACTATGCTCGGACGTACAGACAATGACTCCTACAATACTCAACCAGATTTAAATAACGCCAACGTTTAAATCCTCAGAACACTGAGGATAATCACATTCTCAGCTAACCTCCCTTGCTTTGAACTCTTTCAACGACTAAACTGATGTTGATGTCATTTTAGGAAACAATAATTACCCCTAAATACAATTCGCAGCTGAGCATTGGATGCGGTCGGGCATCAACTAATCCAACCAGTGGACTTCTAACATTGTTGCATGAGTTAAGACTGGCCAAATATGGCTTTGAAGCACGAACCATCTTGCGAGACCGAAATCGCCGAAACTACCAAAGCTAAAAGCATAGTTGTAATTTACGTCGAAAATGCATATACATACCTTGAACAAAGGCGTAACTGAATCAAGGAGACTCTTGTGATTGTAGCATAAAATTGCATTATGCTGACACGTAGCTAGAGGTTCAAAAGTACATGCAGTATTCAAATGGTCATCCGTCTCATGGCCCTTGATTACAAGAAGAAATTTTAAAATACTCGCCATTGTTCGGCATCTTTAGATGGTCACTGAATTATCCATTAACACTGAAATCACTCTAGACACGTAGACAAAAAAAACATTAATTGCAGCCTGCCTGAGTGAGAAGTGTAAAACATGATAAAAATATTTTTAATGCATTAGGTCGTGAAACTATGCTACACATACCCAACGAATGGTTCCATTGCACTCCTATTTCACGATTAATGTGCGTAAGATAAATGTTCGGAGGTCAGGTTTGTTCAACAAACACTAAGGCTTTTGATTAGCGAATTAAGACTGCAATTATGCACTGCCTAAATGCAATTCGTAAATATATTGTGCTCAACCTGCCATGAGGATGCAAAACCACAAAGTAGCCCAAGTAGTAAAACGTGAGCATAAATTTGGCTAATGAAGTGTGTTGAAACTGTTCTAAGTACAAAGATATACAAAAGAATGAACAGCATAACCCTGGTAGAGGTTAGAAGATCGAAAATCGGGTAAGAGTTGCAAATAGAACGAGAGTAAACTAGTATATACAGATAGTGACCTGAAGGGGGAAGGAGAATTTGTCGTCAAATGCAAAACATGAAATATTTCACTGGCTAGTAGTAGTTGCAACTGCCGCCGCTGCTCGCAACAGCTCGCCCAAACGACTGTTTGCGGTGGACTGCATTTGAGTTGCATCCAAAGAGCGCACCAGCTTGATTAAATTAGAGCTCGAAAGACTCTTGTTATTCGCCGTCAACCGCTGCCTCTCAAGTATTGTCTGCTCTTGGTTCACCGGAATCCGCACCTCAGATGTTGATTCAAGTGGTGATGGCAGGACCGTGAGAGCAACGTAGATTGTACTGCCACAAGTAAGCAAAGTGGGCACGGTTGAGGACTGGCCGCACGAGATAATAGCCTGCTGTCCGATATCGGACTGAATTGGAGTCAGAAGGATACAAGGCTTTGAGTCGCTCTGCCCTTGGGGTTGTTGTATTTGTTGAGAGCTGGTAGCTGCCTGGTTGATCAGTTTGTGTAGCACTGTCAGATCAGACGCGAGCGTCTGTTGCGCTTCAGTCTCAATACGAAGTTTCTGCGGCAACTGGCTTTTTACCTGTGAAATAGCATTCTCTTGCATAGAGTTAAACTGCTGAGCAGGAGATGGCGTTCGAGAGAGAGGCGAAGAGGTCGAAAGACAGGGTGAGAATGGATCATTTGAATTTTGTTCCAAGTACCCCAGAGGTTCCGATTTGGTGACTGTTCTGGGAGGCGCAATGGGCGTTGGCGTCGCCGGTGCTATTTTCATTAATTTGGAAGTCGACTGAGAAGTACACAACTGGACAGATGGCAGATGAATGTCATGAACTGCCACATTTGATTGTGTCGGAAAAGAAGAAGAAGAGAGGCAAGAGGATGATCGCGATGTTTGTGGAGAAGAGCTAGGGGGTTCCGCTTTAATCATAAGTGGTGACGAAGGGCGTTCGAATGATGTGATAGTAGGCGTGGAAATCGCCAAGACGGCTGAAGAAGAAAGCCAGGAAATGGGAGCTGAAACTGATGACGGATGAGCTCGGATTGGAGACGACTCGTCTAGATTGCTTGCAGAAGGAGAGGCGGATGCAGCAATGCTGCTTGGCTGCCACTGACGAGGTTTCGGTTGATACTTATAAGTTGGGAATTCAATATTATGAATTTTCGATAATCGAGCAGCTTCTTCATCGTACAAAGCTCGTATTTCTTTAGGAATTAAATTCCAGGCTTCACCCAGTAACCGGCTTACATTTGAACTTGAAGCTGTGTCAAACATAGCCAAAACATTTCGGCGAATATGCTGAGCGAAAACCTAAAAGCAAAAAAACAGCTATTCACAAGCACTGACAAATTTATGCTCATAAAATCCAAAAATTACTCTATCGGATAAAGAAGAGATTGCTAACACTATCCAGTAGCTATCGATACTGGGGTGACTAAAGGCTAAATATTTTTAGAAAGGCAAATTACGATTTCGCATATTCGTAGCAAATCAGAGGGCGAATTAAACATAACAACGCAAAAAATCATACAGGCTCTCTTAAGCTGTAGCAATAACCGAATTTGTTTCCAAACATAAGCTGGCAAATAAACGTAAAGACATACAAAACCCTACCATAAAACTATTAAGCGGCCTTGGTGTTGTCAGTTTCCTTCGTTTTTTGCGGGTGGCAGCAACCGTCGTGTAAGGCTTTTCTGCTTCTGCACCGGTTAACCTGGCAGCTCTATCGCTCGGCCATTCTGTTGGTATGCTGTGTTCAAAAGCCAAGTGAGCAATAAATGCCTCTACGCCACCATTTTTGGCGCTTTGACATTGAATGCACTCATTCATATAAAGAAAGGGGGTTGGTTTTTTCCCTGATTCCATCGGAAATACAAACCTCGCGAAAACTCAAAGAGAAGTGCGTAGTTGGGTGAATGAAGGACAGAAGGCTAAGTTTTTTGGTTAAGCATGTTGGTCCACTGGCCAATAAAACCACGAGTGGATTCGAACGACTTTAAAACACATACAGCAAAAGCTTTAGCTGTCACAGTAATTAGAAAATATAATCAACTCAATATTTTTGCGGTAAAGACATTAGTCTTAAGATTATAAGCAAGGTCTTAGCAAATCCGAAATCCAGCATTTCTACCTAGAAGAATTCACTACTAATGATGAAGATGTGCATATCGTTAATAATATAAGAACCTAGGCAATACAATTATTAATATGTAACACCTTGCAGCTAGAGTTTTTTTCTGACTGCATATGCCTCTAACTTAAATGGCAAAACTTTATCTCAGAGTAGTTTAAGTAAATTTATTACACTCGTGTCCCGTTAAGACATTAGTTATCTTTGTTTGCCACGGCCTATTATTTAACTACCTGTATGAATAGCGGCTATTTGGAATCAGCTTACATATACTTGTGTAAGTTGATCTTTGATCCAAGAAAAAGCTTAATTTTAGCGTCATGAGACTTGCCTTAGGTAAGAGGAGGTATATCATTGGGGTGGATGCGTGTATTTTGAGGCGAAAAATGAATAGAGTCTTGACACGGCTCAAGTCCAGCCCACACATACAAGGACAAAAATGAATATGAAAGCGACCACCAGATAAACGAAGTGTTTCATTATCCCTCCTTTTGAACGACGTCCTTGGTATACCTTACAGCATATTTGGTGTCACAATAAAACGCCTACGAGCCAGATGCGTCAGTCATCAGCTACCGTATGACTAAGGAATGGCACTTGGTCTCCTCATAGGCTTCAACTGGACCTAAAGTTGTGTTCGGTCTGATTACATAATGTGTGGCATAAAAGTGTCTTTTAACCATCAGTGTCTTCCACAACTAGAGGCTGAAACACTAATCTAAAAACAGATGTTTGACGGGAAAGATGTGATTAAATACAAAACATTTATCGATGGTTCACGATAGTGTGACTCCAGTTGTTATTAGCGTTTTTGAGGAACACGGAGTCAAGATGGAGCTAAACGCAGGCCTCATTCTCAAACCTTCTATTGTATAGTATTCAAGCGACCTCCCTCCCGATGTAAATACGTTTTCTTTGCACCGTAGACATATGCAACGAATGGTGGACAAATAGAAAGGTCGAGTTCGCTTTACGACGCCACTAGTGTAGTGCACGCTGGGCTGAAATCGTGCGAGTGAGGGAAGAAGAACTAGTATCCTATCAAATGTACAAGAGCAAAGTGAATACCAAACCAACAAATACGCATTTTTAGCCCTAGCTGCTGCCTTCTACTACCAGATGGAAATCCGCGAAATGTGCACTAGTGGCAGCGAAAAGCAAATTCGACAATGTTACCATTTCTATCCCGCTGTCGACCATTTGTGAAAAACGGAGCGAAAAAGTGTGGAAAAATCCATCGGTTATTTACAACGGATGAAGTAAGTCAACTTCCGTATCTCACTGGCAAGCTAGTAACAAGTGAAGCAACACTACTGTGAACCATTTAGAAAAGCACCATTTTCGACCTCTCCTTATCACATATGCATATAGGTGTCAACGCTGACATTACGCTGATTCCCCCTCCATGTACGATTGTGTTTAATTTTATTCTTCCCCTTCTCACGCGTCAGTTGCGGACCAGCGTTTTGTGTCTCCCACTGGCCGCAATTGATGATCAGCGGAAGTATGCGTCCGATTCCCGCTTTCAGATCTAACGTATCTCCAGATCTAATTGAAGCTACTGGGAGAGCTAAGTCAAACCATTGGCTGTGGTGATGCCTTGCAGAATTGACTATAGTGTGATAGCTGGAGCGGAGAGCACCATAGAAGTCGTTCAAAAAGAATGGGGCACCGCAATACATTGCCCAATTGATTGCTCGTATGAATTGCGGTTATTTTGGCCTTCGAATTACGCCAAAGCCTACTCTCTCCTCCCTTCTCCCTGATTCAGGCATTCAGCCCTACTGAACGACAACCTTTGCCAAGTGGGAGGAAAGGCTAAAGGCTTTGTTTATAGCTGAATGCTTGTATCAGACCGAAAGGGTGGAAACGAGGCTGCGATCTAGTTCGAAGGATAACTTATGTTGAAGAATCAAGATGGCCGCCAAATAGACCAACACTCATACAGATATCGGAATAAGCAAAGTATCCCAAGCATGCAAATAATTTAGACATTGCACCTATGACCTTCAGCATGAAATTACAACGATGTCTTCGCTAAAGGGGACCAAATATTTAAAGACATTAGTATATGCACCTGAAAACGAAATTAATGGGAATCTTTAGAAAAAGCTTTGCATTTAGCAGTAGTCGAGTCCTTAGCCAAACTATTTTAGACACTTAATGCTACTTGAATGTGCCTTTGCTGAGGAGCAGACATAAATCAAAACGAAATTCGGGATTGTAAAAGAGTTCATAGATCTCATAAACTTGTTTGGGGTAAGCATGATAAGCATTTGGACGGAATGCATGTGTGCTTGGCATGAAGAAGGAGAAACAGCCCTTTATGAATGAACCAGATGGCGAAAAAGACAACCACTTAGTAGGCCACAACTGCTACCATCAGTTAACCAATTTTTTGTGTTAACTAGTGGCGAATTTCCAGCCATCGCACCGAGGGCTGTGTATCACTTTAAATCAGCACCTAAAAAGAGGAAGATTTGTTCCTGTATTTCGTATTAAACGTGTTTATTGTCTTCAGAATAATCATATTAACAGCATAAAAATATGATTCGTGTTATCTGAAAGTTGGACTAAAGGACAGATTAAAGCTTGCCACCTAGCAGTACTTAAGTAATGCGAACACAGGGCAAAGGCCAAAATCTATTAATTCTTTAATTTGCTGCAACTCCTTTCCCCTTGGTTCTCGACAATTCATTAGATATCTTAAAGTGATTGACTTCGCTGTTTTTGCTAAAGATAAGGAGGGAAATAAAATGAAGATGAAGCCGCAATAATAGCAGCGGCTTAATTAGTCGAATATCGGCGCAAATCCACTGAAAACTAATTAGCTCATGATTCACATTTAAGCATCTTGAAGTATTTAAAAAGTACAGCCAATGTGTGACCGGTATTTTGCAATTCCTTATATATTTTATGCATCTTCGTTGGAGTCAAGGTCGATTGGCATTTTTTCAAACATTTTCTGGTCTTAAGCGATTGGTGTAATGTTCCCATTCAGTGAGTATCTGCGCCTCATTCCAGCGTTAAGTTTTTTTATTCAGTGGATCTTAGCTGCTGCTTTTTTGTTGTCTAGGAGGAAAGTGGGAAATGCTCTTCAAATGCTTTCGCTGATTCCAATTTTCATTCAATGCATGCTTCTACCTGTTGTTCAAAGCAATCCATACACACTTCACTATGAATTTACTGACTACACGGGTGTCCCCTGTGTAGTCATTGAAGTCTCCTGCAATTCTTCATTTTCTATAATGAAACATGACAAAGTGAGTTTGTGTATGCCTATATTCTTTAGAATGTTTCGATTGCCTTTGATTATGCACATAGAGGAAGCGGTAGCTGTAGTCTGCGTAATGGAAGCTATGTAAATATGCATCTTCAGAAGGGATATATAGTTCACTGGTTTTGGTTCTTCACACCGGAGCCATTTATGGAAATGTTTGGACAAGGATTTAACACGGTTGGAGCAGAAGAATATCTTCTACACGGAACCTACGCCCTCACAAATCTGTCCGTCTTCAATGAGGTCACAAACGAGATATATTCTGCAAATGTTACTGCTTTGGCTGGTACGTTATTAAAATACCAACGATAAGTGCCATAAATATTACAAAGAACTCTATGTCCATTAGTATGATCCATCGTCTTTAATTTTTCCTATTTGGGTATACCAGAGCACGAAGTTCAAATAGACTTCTTCATCAGGAGCTCAGTTTACTAACTAGTGCATTTCTGTTGTGTATTTGTTGTTGCTTTTTATGCCGATAATTTTTGGAACCAGGTTTATATAGTAGCTTAATACAAACACAAGCATATTGAATCGTTAGATCCTTCACTATAAAGGAACGATTGATTAAATTTATCTAGATATTCCACTGACCTAAACTCCAGCAAAATTATCTGGTCGTTAGCTTAGAATATGATGGCTTCTATCCATGCAATTATGGTAAGGTCTTAAACAATGCTGTCTATCCGAATGGTTTGTAATATGTGTCGGGCGCAAACTGATAATACTCACCTTCCTTTATGAACCACTATCTGAAAACTGAATTTACCAAAATTCACGATAATATGGATATCATTCTAATAACTTGTTAATGCAACGTTTATGCTAAAGGCATGGGAATGTTGACAGTTACCTCATCTCTGGTAGATTGAACTTTACTGCTCTTTACCTTGCTATCATGGGGGTTCTGTAATTCTCATTGTCTAGCAAAGAGGGTTTTATGTGCCTTCTTGTCTTTTCTAGATCACAGGTTCGCATTAGAGATGGAAATTTTTGTTGGTTCTTCATTATAAACAACTGAGATTATTGGCGTTATCATTAATCAGCTGTAAACCGTTCGCCCAACATTTGAAATTTTAGAGACAAATAAATTCTCATTAAATGTACTTTAAATTACAAATTCTTTTATAGTGTGCTTCCTATGATACAGGCGTAAATTACACTTGCATCATTGCGTTTATAAATCTTTATTAAAAGGCACAATATACAACTACTCTATCGAAGGTGAGTGATAGATAGACTTAACTTTTCAAAGTACAGTTATGAATTGTTAATTTATTCATCAGGGAGAGGCACATTAAACGAATTTCAGTCTAAATTGAACTCATCGTGTAAGCTTAACTTGACAAACTAGAAGTACTGGTGTACTTTTCACGGCAAATCCGTAAATCAAAACGCGAAGTACAGATCTTTCCAACCTATCGGAACTGCGGCAGGGCAAAAGAAGGGTCA